ATTGTTCACTTTTGAATCAGTACCTCTTTTAAATGCATTACACTGGTAGATACTAAGCCACATGCCTATACTCTCTTAGGGAGACCGACAAATGTAATTTTTATACATTTTATCTTTTTTTAGGTGGGACTGATGGTGTCAGGATGTATTAAAACGTGTAGGCATGTTTAAATGATGTTGGACAACCAAAAAATGATAGATAACCACCCAAGTTTCTTAGCTGGGTTCCTGGCCTTTATCTAGACTTTTCACATCCTGCATGGCCCAAATTGTGGTGAAGATTTCTCTGGCCTTTCCATCTGTCCTCTGTGATTCCAAGGGTTCTGCACATGCCTGTATTATAATTATTTCTCCCTACTACACCATTATTTATTTTTATTTATTCCACAAGCATATATAACATTTAATAAATATCAGACATTGCTTCATAAATAATACCATTTGAGTGTAAAAGCGATCTCACAAATTTACATTCTCCAAGTCAGTCTTACATAGTCTCTCCTGTGCAGTGCTTTTCCAGTAAATAAGTGATTTTTAAAATAGAGAAGGAAAATAAAAGGTACAATCTTGCAACAATACATTATTAGTGTTTTGTTGTACATATTTCATGTCTAGTCTTCCAAGGAAAAACTTAGCAAAAATTAAACTGCCCTAAGGTAGGCTGGGCTAAGGAGGTTGTGAGTTCCCTCTCTTTTGAAGTAAGTATAAAACATAGATGAGCATCTGTGGACTACATTAAAAGTGCTATACAGCCTACTTTCTATGATTTTGCTTTGATCTATCAATGTTAGTAATTTACAGATTAGCTACAAAAATAAGAAATAAGGACACAAGGTAGAAAAGGTAAGAGAAGAGACTGGGATCTATAAGGAACAGGGAAGGGGACATTGCCAGAACCTCTGCAGTGGGTTCTGCCCTCCTGTGCGCCACCACAGCACAAGCGAAATTAAAGAATAGACAGGAAACGAGACTTAGAATGAAAAAAACTGGATCTTGGGCCTGATCAGTGCTGCTGATAGCAGCAAAGACAAAGGCCCCCAAGCATATCCAGTGTTTACTGAATACAATCGTGGGAAGGAATAGGCAGCCAGGTATGTTTAGAAGGCATGAAATTTTTACTGCCAAACACCTAGCATGATGGTGCCAGGCAGGGCTGTTAGGGCATAAGCACTGTTTATCTTGCTTGGGTAGAACAAACCAGTACTGGCACCAAGTGCAATTAGCAAGTAACCCATTGGGTTAATTGGGGTCACAGTGACCTCAGCTGCGTGTAACTCAGCCGAGCCCTGCCACTTCAAATACCAGGATGTAGGCCCCGGTGACAGCCATTAGCAAAGGAGCAATACTAGCCCAGCTCTGCTACTTGACATGCCTGTTTGAGTCATTTAAGGCTTGATCTGACTCCTGATATAAAACAGTATAGCTGGATTTAGGAAGGCAAGAAGTGTGTGCCTCTTATAGCCCACTAGTATTGGGCAGGGATGTCTGCTATGGAGATTTAGATGATACAAAATGAGAACATATACAAATTTATGAGTATTGGCTATGAATGAGTCACCATGAAAGTTACTGTGGTGTGTCCAAATAGATGTTGTGATTTTTGCTTTCACTGAAGTTATTGTAAGTTTATTATCTATTATCCAAAATGTTTGAGACCAGAACTGTTTCAGATTTTAGAGTTTTTTTCAGATTTTGTGGTATTTCTGTAGACATTACTAATTGAGCATTGCCAATCTGAAGATCAGATATCTTAAATCTCCCCTCCCCCCAAAAACAAAACTTTTTAAAGCACCATATTGACACTTGATTTTGGTCTTTTATATTACAGATAATCTATATTCAAAGATGCAGTTTGATGGCTTTTCAAGGATTCTTAGTTTTTCCCACCACATTATCATATAAGTTTTTAAAATAAATTTAATGTTGTTCTTTGCCTGTATTTTACTTGATTAAAAATACAATGGTTAGAATCACAGAAACAGTAAAAGGCTAATAAAGTGTGGTGGATTGACTAATGGTCAACTTGTAACGTTTAGCTGAACTGAATCATTGTGGTCTGGGCTTGGAGGATCCACCTGAGGATTGTTAAAATAGCTGTAAAAAGAGAACTGGAGGGGACGATCTTGGCCTGTTGATTTTCTAGGAGAAGCTTGCTGAGGATGGTTTTCCTGATGTGAACTAGGCTGTTCTCATTGGAGGAGGAGCTTGGGACCTCACTGTCACTGGGAATGGCTGCTGTTTTCGTTAGGTGATCTTTACCGTGAGCATCACTTCCTGGCTTCGATTTGGATCCCTCAGCTTGGTGGCACAAATCCTTCACCTCACTGGCATAGGTTTTCTTGCTTCCACCACTGGCCTTTGGGCCTTCCAGGTACAGATCCTTCATATGGACAAGCATGAGACATTGCCATGGGCTCTAGGCCACTGGCTGAACTTGTGGAAGACATTATTGGGATCCAGGCCCTCAGCTGGATTCCTTGGGCCACTAGTGTTTGGTTAATTTCTTCCACTCTTTTGCATTTGACTTTTTGGATAATTATGATAAAATAATCCTATAAAGTATGTGCCTTGTATTTAATGTATCCCCTTACCAAAACCCTGACTACAACATAAGGATTGATTTTTTTTTTTTGAAATTGAGATCCAGTTGTTTTGGGGTTTCATATATGTGTGAGTTTATACAGCATTTGTCTTCCTGTGCTTGACTTATTTCTCTTAACATAATGATATCTGATTCCATCAGTGTTGTCATAATGACAGGATCTCATGTTTATGGCTGAATAGTATTCCATTTTGTATATGTACTATGTTTTCCTTATTCATCATTTGATGGATACTTACACTATTTCCACTTCTTGGCTATTGTGAATAGTGCTGAAATGAAAATGGGAGTATAGATGTCTCTTCAGTGTACTGATTTAATTTCCTTTGGATACCTAGTAGTGAGATTGCTGAGTCATATGGTAATTCTATATCTAGTGTTTGAAGAACTTCTATACTTTTTTCATAATGGCTGTATTAATTTACATTCCCACTTGTTTATATTATCATAGAAACAGAATAGAATAATGGCTACCAGTGGCTGTGAAGCACGAGAAGAGAGAGGATATGAAAAGTTGGCCAAAGGGTACTGGTACAATGTTACATTTGGATAGGAAAAATAAATCCTGGTGTTCTCTTTATAGTAAGGTGACTGTAATTAAAAATAAAATAATATATTCTGTATTTCAAAGTAACTAAAAGAGCATTTTGGATATTCTGACACAAATACAAATATTTGCCTTTTCTTTGTATTTCGTATAAATGGATTCATACAGTTTATGGTCTTTTGTGACTGGTTTCTTTTGCTTTGTATAATGTGGTTTCTAGGTTCATTTGTTTATAGTATGTATTGGTACTTTATTCATTTTGATGGTTGAATAATGTTCCATTGGATGGATATATGACATTTTATTCAATCATTTGATGGACATATGGATAGCTTGTATTTTTTGGCTATTAGGAAAAATGCTGCAGAAACATGCATGTACAAGTTTTGATGTATATTTTCATTTCTCTTGTGTATATAAGCAGAGTTTTATAGTACTCCTTCTATGTTTAACTTTTTCAAGAACTACCAGACCATTTTCTAAAATGGCTCCCTCGTTTCAATTTCCCACCAACAATGTGTGAGGGTCCACTTTCTCCACATCTTTGTGAACACTTGTTAGTTACTTTTTTCTTCTATATTTTTGTTTGTTTGTTTGTTTGTGTGTTTGTTTTTTGATACAGTATCTTGCCATAGAGCCTAGGCTGTCCTTGAATTTTCTATGTAGGTCCAGCTGGCCTGGAACTTGAGATCTTCCTGCCTGAGCTTCCTGAATTCTGGGATCATAAGCATGTACCACCATGCCTAGATTGTCATCTTTCTTCTTCTGTCTACACTAATGGGAGTGAGGGAGTATCTCTTCTGGTTTTAACTTGCATTCCCCCAGTAAATGATGTTGAACTTATTTTCATATGCTTATTGGTCATTCCTCTGTGTGTGTGTGTGTGTGTTACTGGGAACTGAACCTATACAAATATTTTGGCCATTTGTAATTGGTTTATTTATCTTTTTGTTGTTGAGTTGTAAAGAGTTCTTTATATACATGTTTACTCATCCATTATCAGACATGATTTGTAAATAATTTTACACATTCTGTAGGTTGTCTTTTCACTTGCTGCATTTTGGAGCTAATGTACTTCAATCCTGGTTTTGTGTTCCCTCAAGGGTGTCTTCTTCATGTGTTACAAGGGTTAAATATGAGTTTCAAAATGAAGAAAAATAATTTGTGAAATCAAAGTGTTATATGTGTATATGTCACAAAATAAAGATGGATTCCCTAGCAAATTAAGGCTTATTGAACCTCAGTGTGTTCTTGTAACTGAGTATTTTTCCATTATGAGTGATTTTTATTACCCCAGTATGTCTAACTACAGTATATTTATTCTTTTCTTTTGCTTTTTCAAATCTATCAACTTCTTGTGGATTTTTCATTAGTAATTTCTTAGGTTTATATTCCCTGTTAATTTGCCAATCATATTTGTTTTCCTGGATAATAGTAATCCAAAGAGAGCACATGACAAATAGTAATTTGTGTGTGTGTATGTGTGTGTGTGTGTGTGTTTGTGTGTGTGTGTGTTTTCTTTTGCTAACAAGGTAAATACTGTAAGTAGTTTTGCTAGGGCTGTATAATGACTGTCTATGGTATAAACTGCCAGTCTACTCTGTGGAATGGTTTAAAAATATTTTTTCTTTCTGCTCATTGTCTGGTATAAATATAAACCCTAAATATATGGTAAAATGTGCACAAGATTATGGTATCTAGAATAAGTAATAATAATGAAGTATCCAGAAAAAATTCTTGTTGTTATGGCATGACTTAGTATTTTAAGACATAGACACTATTATGTTTATCCTTTTTGAAAGTCTTAGGCAGAAATTTCTCAGTGCTCACAGACACTGTTCTTTCTGACAGGAGGATATGAACCTTAATGAAGAAAAGAAAGCTCCATTAAGAAACAAAGATTTTACCACCAAGCGTGAGATGGTTGTCCAGTATATTTCTGCTACTGCCAAATCTGTAAGTTGACTTTCCTGGCACCAACACAGTGAGCTTAGCATTATCTACTTAAATGTAAACAAACCGCAGATCTTCAAATTCTTGCTTGTATGTACTCACATCAACTATTTAGGAAACAATTTATGTATTTTTACATAGTGAGTATATATTTCAAAACTGAACTGTTCATACTTAGAAATGAGATACTTCCATTATTATAAACAATAGAGACTAATAAGGATAGAAGACTCTTGAAGTAATACATTGAGTTTGGAGCCAGAATATTTTTTTGTGTTTACTAAAAATTGACATTTCACAGGGATTCAACTTAATATATAGGTCGTTGGATGGAAACTTTAGATTTTGCAAGAGAAAATATAAACATATCATACTTGGCTTTTAACTAGATTTATGTTTAAACCATGTGCCCGATGCCTGCTTACATGTAATTTTTATCAATGTTTTTAAGTATGCTGATTTTTATTTCATTCTATGAAATGAAAGCTATGTAAGCTACCTCATAATTGACATTGGGCAGCTTTGTTTAATATGAAGGAAAAAACTTAATACATAATTTAATCAAATCTGTGAGTCTCCAGACTGGTAAGTAGGGTTTATTGAAAGGACTTACCTACAGGAAAAATGTAATGTTTTAATAGAGTATTTTGCTTTGTTCATTTCCTAAAGTGTTTCCAAAAGTAGTCTTTAGATTTTCTTTTTTTGTAAGAAAAAAAAGGCATTTTTGAAATGGCAGAATGCATATTATGCATTTCTGTAAAGAAAAAGCTTTTCATATCAAGAGTTTATAAAATCACTGTGTGTGTATGTGTATACACACACAGTGATTTTATATGTAGGTGTATATATATGTGTGTGAGTGCATGTGTGCATGTGTGGATACACAACACATAATTTAAAACATACCTATTTTAAATTTAAAGAGTTGACCAGTGAACAAAACAGCTTTCTATTGGAAAAATATATTTTGGAGTTATTTGGCTAACCTGTTAATGCTATTCCAGTGCAGTAATTCCAGTAGCAATTACTGAATTTTGAGATTATGTTGACTGTATATCATACTTTAGGGAAGCTAAATCTGAATGCTGAACTATTTAAACATAACACATTGCAGCACTGCCAGAGCAGAGCAACTGCATGTTTTTTTAATTTGCTTCTGTATCCAAGGGCAGAAATATGTTTCAAGTGATAAGTGAAATTTGCCATGAGCATCATTTTCAATAGAATTAGGTGATGCATAGGGTTTTACTTTGAAATTCTGATGAATCTCTTCTCATTTTTGCACTGAAGTTATTGTTCACAGCAAAATCCTTTAGGAAATGCAAGCTATAGTTTCAGTGTTACTTTTCAAATGCATGAAATCAAGTACACTGAATCTGTATAACTAAATCTGAATACAAAGTACAGATGATGATACATGGCTAATCATGTGGTCTTTTTTTAATGACTTTATGTCTCTAGCTCATTTGTTGTTGTTTGTGTAAGTGGAACTGAATATAATGAAGATAATATGATGGTTTCCTTTCTTGACCTTTTGATTATTAGTACACCTCTATGCACAACTTATTTTCATGCTTTTTTCTCTTCATCTGATCAAAGAAATGTATACTTTAAGTTATATACTTATATGTCAGAATGAAATGCAAAAATTTGGTTAAATATTAGATAAGCTCATTTCAATTGCTTTATTCGAAAGATGAACATGGGATATTTCTTTAAAGACATGAAAATTTTATATTTGAGGCATTAGTCTCAAATTCACTACTACTGAGTAGTATATGATCCTTATTTGTCTCCTTGAGTTTACTTAAGAGCACTTCATATATGCACTACACACTCATAAGAGTCCTTTTTGGTTGTTGTTTTTTTTGAGATAGTGTCTTAGCATGTAGCTCAGGCTGGCCTTGAACGTGTGATCCTTCTGCCTTGGCTTCCCAAGTATTTAGATTATAGGTGTGCCATGCGTAGCTCAGAAAAGGTCTAAGATTATACTTTTTTTGTTATTATTTTTCATGGACCATACATTTTGATGGAAGAAATCAAGCATTTTTTGAAGCTTCCTTTCCTTGGCTAGACATTAATTACCATTGTTTTTTGTCATTAAAACCATAAAGATTGTGTATGTAATTCCCTTTTAAAGGTAAGAGGTATAGCATTCAGTGCAAAACATATCTGATCCTTTGATTTCTTCATGATTAAGACAGTAAAATTTGCATGAGTTAGTACTAAATGTATGACCCTTTACTGATTTATAACCACACTTCCCATCCTGCTATCTGTCATTCATTAGGCTTTAGATATGTGTACTTGTTTACTCTTTTTCACTATATTAATATGCTCATGAAAAATGTTTTCTCATTTAAAGCAGATGATGGTAATTTACTTTATGAAAATGCTTTATAGGTACCCATAATTTTTCATCTTGAAGTAGAAACAAGGGTGAGAAGTAGAGGAAAAATGTTTTATAGTCACATGCAAAACATCTAAGAATTTAAACATAAATCAAACATTTTCCCTTTTAGCCACCTACTTTAATCATTTTGTATGGGCTGCAAAGTCAAACAAACAAAATGTGAGCTCAGTGGTAAATGTCCATCATGCTCCTAGGTTTTTGGTTAAGCACATGAAAAGTAAGATAAGGCAATGCACAGATACATGGTCAAAACTTTTTTCTAAAGTGTACATGAGTCTTTTGTTGTAAATTAACTTTGCTATAATTATCATGGGTTAAGAGAAGATTAAGTTAATCACAAAATAGTAATAAAGACTAGTGCTTGATTGTTTTCTTCTTAAAATGCCATAATAGGTAAAGTTGTGTGAATGTTAGAGTCCAAAAATGTAGCTTGGGTAACTCTGTCAGTGATGAATGAACTCTAAATAAGCAGATGGAAAAGAATCTCCTCTCTGCATTTATCTGCTGTGAGATGGACTCTTCTTTCTCATAGTAAGATGTCTGGTTACAGACCTAATTTAAAAGTTGTTGATATCTGTAGATAACCTGGAAGAGTTGATATTTTAAAAAAACTAGCATATGTTTTGAGAAATGAAAAACTAAGCCTTATTAATATTGTAAAAGTCATCCTATCCAGTTGTAATCCTGAAACATGATGTGTTGGTGATTTAGAGGGGATCTTGATTCACTTAACAACATATATAGACATTTATGAAGAAAAGTTTCCAAAGTCCTCACTTGTTTGGCAAATGCCAATGTACTTATTAGAATATTAAGAAATAATTTAAATCAGTTTTGGAAATTGAGATTTTAGAATATGTTTGATTATGTTTGAAAATATGACCCAATTAATGTCATTTATTTAAAAAACTCAATAGGAAATAATTTAAAATAGTGTTACCAACTACGTCTACAGATTTACTAGAGGTACCTGTATGACAAATAGTTAACAGTTATAGTACATCTCTGTGTGTGTGAGTGTGTCTGTGTGTCTGTGTGAGAGAGAGATGTGTGTATTTATTTATGGTATTGCTTTTTAGCAGAAACTTCTTTCTCAGGTTGTTTCAACGAATAATCTGGATATGATGAAATGTTAGCCTCTCTTAACAAATCAGTCTAGTCTACTGTTCTGTGTGCTTTAGCTAAATGCAGTCATTTTTGCAATCCAAGTGAATAATTAAATGGGACAAATTTTGGTTATTTCACTGAGTATAGATTTGCCTTAATTGTTCAGACAGACTCACATTCATTTTATAGTCACATGTCTATGATAAATAAATAAGGGACAAATACAACTTCTGTCTTTTTTGGTAGGAGGGAATAGTTTAGGTCAATAGCATATCTCAATTCAGAAGACTGTTAATAGAACCAAAGAAATTTTCATTCTTCTAAATAATTATTGCCTGTAAATAGTCTGTGAAATGAATATTTAAGAAACCCATATCTCTATTTGGAGATTTATTGATTCTTCTGAAATAATTTACTTAGGAGCTGTCATTAACTTTTTGCATCTTGTGATATCTTATTAGACTTAGGATTTTTACTAGGGTTTCAGGAAATTTGATTTTATTTTTAAAGCATTGGCCATGAAATGGAGCATATCTTGATAATAACTGCTACTAGATTAATGGTTATAGTTTGTGAATTATGTATTTTTGGACACTGCTTGATATTCATGTGTGGGAATCTGATAACAGTGATTTGACTTATTGGGTTTTGCATAAAATTATGTATAGGATTGTGAATTTACTTCTTGCTTTCCTAAACACAATTCTGCCTCTCAGAAATTCTTTTCTCTCTTATTTATCTATTAGGAAAGTTGAATTTTTTGAACTATTTCCTCCTCGTGAATATGTGCATGTTTAGCTATAAACTGCTTCTTTGTCTTCACATTATATAGAAAATTCTGATTTTATAATAGAAATGCTAGGTTATCTAGGAAAACTAGAATAATAAACAATTTATCTTTGTAATTTTCAAGTATAAGATGAGAAAATATTATAGACCTTAAGTTTATAACAGTATAAAAATACAATTTCTCAACTCAAAGTACAGTCTTCAACTTAATGCATGACTTAAAATGCAACATTTATATTCTAAAATAACTTGTTTCAACATTAATGATACACTTGTCATAAAAAGGAAAGAAAAAAGCAATATCTGGAACAAAAATCAATTTTTTATTGGCAATTGTTTGAGGAGCTGTGAACTGATAAAATATCTGACGCTAGATTGCAATTCACTTTGCAAAACTTGATACTTAAGTTGCACTATATCAGAAGCCATTGCAGGACATTTGAAAATATTCTCATATAGTAATTAGCTTTTATTTGGGAATTCTTATTTTGCAGACTTACATATTTTTGAAATATGATATTTATTAATATTGATATATTTATTTTAGGCTCTAGATACAAAGTTTTAAAATTATAGGGTGATCTGTTTACTAATTTACTAAACACTTAACTTCTGTGAAAAGCTTCTGATTACTAATATTATTGCTGTTTGTTTTTTTTTACACCATAATCACTCTTCGTTGACCACTGCATGCAGATAGTTGGAAGTAAAGTTATGGTAAGTACAAAAGATGTGTTTTACTCTTAGATATAAACTTGTACTTTTGGGATTTGTGGCTTTGCTTTTTTTTTCCTGTATGTTTGGTTCTTCTTTTGGTTTCTGTTTTACTAAGACAGTGAGGTGAATGTTTGGGTGAGTTGTTGGAATGTAGCTCTGGTAAGTATTTTTCTTGTAGGTTTGGTAAATATTTTTAAAGTAGGATGTGCCTGTATATTTTCATAGAAAATTTTATCTTTTTTTGAAATTGTTTTTTCAATCTATATGATTCTGATGAATCGTTTTTTGTTTCTCAACATTTTAGTATTGTACAGAGACTCCTAAAGTATTTGTTCATGCTCACAAGAGTTCTTATTAAGATGTTACTTTGATTTTGGTATCACTAAGCACATAGTAGGAAATGAGCCTTGCCATGCATTCAGGAGGCCTCTCTATTTTATTTTGTTAGGTGCTATTAATTTACTCCATGATTTTGGGCAATTTATATTTCTCTGGGGTTTAATTACTAAACAGATAAATGGAAATGAATGACTTAAGTTATCTTTTCAAGTTCTTTCTGTTCCTGTCAGTTAAAGTGTTTTATGCTCAAGGCACTATGTTTTAGTGCTGTAATTATATGATACCCTATTGCATAATAATCCAAAAGTGTCCTGTATTGTGATGGAGAGCTATTTGTAAATTACCTTTTGATTAAGCATTCTTTACTCAGAGAAAAAGGTAGGATGCATTAACTGAGTACTGAGGTATCTAGAATAGTGCATGTATTTGTTAATCATTCTTTGATTAAAAATCCTTCCTCCTCCTCCCCCCTTTAAAAATTCATGACATCTACAGGGGATAAAAAAAACAACCTTTTGATATAGTTTTTTTTAAACATCACTAAATATTTACTTAGTGCTTATTATATGCCAAGAATTGTGCTAGGTACATTAATGACTAGAAAGTAAAAGATAAGAACTTTAGTTCATATGGTGCATATAAATTTTATAGGAATTCATAGGTAGGAGTCAGAGGTAGGGTTGGAGTAGTTAGGAAAATGCCAGGATTTAAGGTAAGCTTCCAGAAATAGTGTATTATGATGCTGGGATTTCACTAGGGAGAAGACTGTGTAGAAGTCTCAGGTTTTAGAAGTAATATTAATTGCAAAGGCCTGTAGAAAGAACTAAACTGTGTGTGGGGTGTGGAAGAGGGAAGTGAAAGATGTGGATGACCTTGTTGAAACAAAGAATGTATATTGCAAAGATTTAAAAAATTAAGTTGAAAGGAGCGCTTGAACTTCAGACAGACAATCTGAAATTAGTTTGAGCAACTAGATGCAGTGTGATTTGTAATCTTTTAGCACTTGGGTTACTGAGGCAGGCGAATCTCAAGTTCAAGTCTCACCCAGGCAATTTAGCGAGAACCTGTCTCAAAAAATAAGAGAAAAAGGCTGGGGATTTATGAGAATATAGCTCAATATGAAGGCCCTGGGTTCAATTCTCAGTACCTAAAAGAAAAAAAAAAAAAAAAAAAAAAAAA